TTCAGTTTCTAAACCTCACACAGCCAGATTGTGTGAAGAAGGAAGTAGCAGTGGAGTACCACCAGAAAGGCAGGGTGACATCGGTTCTGGGGCTAAATGACACACAGCCGCTCCAGAACCAGGGAGACTTTTTGCTCACGCTGAGGAACTGCGAGATGGAGAGAGCACCTGCTGATTCTCCTGGACTCACTTTCACCCTCAAGGTGTCTTCTTACCCACCCCGTTCAAAAGGTCTGTATGTTATAAGCACTCACTCATTCATAGTTTGTACTTTCATTAACAATAAATACATGAGATGTTATTCCGAGTTACTCCCGGGGAAAATTTTTGCTTTTGGAAATCTAAAACTACTTTAATCGATTTTTGCATAAAGCTCTGTCATTGCATAATGTAGAAGATGTTTGAAGTGATGACCACAGAGAGCGAAAACAAGGCCCCAAATGTTACGTTTTCTTCCACTTATGCAGTTCAGGGTACACCCTGGGGAGGTCACAACACTGTATTTGAGCATGACTCCCCAGAGCAAACAGGTTAGGAAGGTATTTCAAACTTGATGGTCTGGGTAAAACCTCGTCATCACTAGGTCCAGATTTTTCCAAGACTTTGGTTTATGACAAAAAGAACTGCAGCACTGTGACCAGATCACATCAGCTTGATAACTTTAGCATTTGGTGTAAGGCACCACAGGAATATGAGGCTGTAGTGTAGCTTCACACTCGGGAGGATAAACGATAATTGAACGATTTTTCAGCTTCAGCAATTCTGTTTATTGTTGAATTCTTTTTTACAACCACTGCACAGTCGAAAATGTGATCCAAATGTTAACCAAGTTAATTGTTTCTCCTCTATAGCACCTTTAACCATCATCCTGGGTGTAGTGGCTACTCTGCTGGTCATTTCTGTCATAGTGCTAGTTGTAATGATTAGGTGAGTATTTCTATTATTTAGTGTGTTTTCAAAGGGGATGACCCATCGATAGCTGAATAAAACAGAAAATAATCCCAATCTTCTCTTTTTTCCCGCCAAACAGGAAGAACAAGAAGAAGAAGAAGAAGAAGAAGAAGAAGAAAGGCAATTATGAAGTTGCTGTCTATAATCCTAATGGCATCAACTTCTTACCAGGATACGAATCCCCAGACATGCTGGGGACTTGTAAAGATGATGAGTCCCATGTGTACGAAGAGATTGATGACACTCTCGTCTACACACACCTGCTGAAAAGGGGTGCAGAGACTGGCAACTATGAAGAAACATATAAACCTGTTTCAGGACACACAGACTCTCAAAAGCCACTGCTCTCATCACAGCAGGGCCCTCCACGCCCCAACAAGCCACCAAGCAAAATCCTAACCCCGGTGGACAATACAATTTACCAGAATATGATTTACCAGCCTAAGGATCAAAGTGAGGACGAACAGCTCCCGAATCTGGGGCCTCGACTGGAGCTAGAGGGAAGCAACTGAGCAGAAGACTGGACTCAGCTTTTTGATTTTTCTCTTGACCCACTTGAACTTTGGGATATTCGTTCCCTGTGTGATTGCTCGCTGTTCAGCCTCACAAAGCACCTTTTCTGTTGAGTGCAGCTTTTGCACTAAAGTGAGGCACACACAAACAACCTGTCTGCAGCTGTTACAACGTTTTGTCCCAGATTAAAGGCTCTTCGATTGCAAAAGTTGCTCTCAATCATCCCCTGTAGCTGCATCTGACATAAAACATATTTATTTCATAGTAAGGTCAAATATATTGCTTTTTTAATGTGTCACGATGGGATGAGTCCTTTGTCCTCATCGGAGACTAGTGGCATAATTCCCCTGCAATTAAACTGCATTTCAGTGTATTTTATTTTTAATTTCAGTGTAGTTATTTGAC